TCTTTACTGGCTTCCTTCTCCTCGCCTCATCTCTTCAGCTGGCTATCACAGCCCAGAATGACTAACTTGCCCAGATCACTTTTTTTCCCTCCTTCTTTTCTTTTTCTGCGAGAAACTGTGATGCATCAGAAAAAACGCTTCACTAACAGGGTATTAAAGAAGTGCTATAACAGTGTAGCAGCCCCCCCAACCAGCTTCCCCCCTCCGACTCTTTTCCTCTCTATATATCGCTCTCCACCTCCTTCTGTTTCCCCTTCTAACTTCTATCCTCTCTAATTTACAGTCTGCTGAAGTTCAGATGCGCATGGTGGGAGGCACCTCGGAGAGATTGTGACTCACTAGAGTTCAAACTGTAGAGCTTTAAAATATTCATTGTTAGGAGAGGTTACGGAGTCTCTGTCTGTCATTTTCAATTCAACCCCACCACCACCATCATCTTCTGTTTTTTATTTTATTGTCTGTGTACTCACAAGATCAAGCAGGAGTTTGGCATTTTATTTATTTTTTAATTTAATGTTTTGGTTTATACTTAGAGGAACATGTAGATGCCTCTCTCACCTCTCTGTGATGAATATAAATGAGCAAACAGGACAAAAACAAATTAATTGGTGAATGTGCTAACTGGCACCCATACCTTCCTGCTCGCCACATGAGAGTGGATTAATTTAAAAAAAAAAAAAGGAAGAAAGTAAATAAATGTGTCACTCAAAATGTCAATCTCCTCTTTAACTGGTACAAAACTGGGCAAATATCACAAAATTTCCTTTATTCTCTGTGCAGTTTCAAATACATAATACTTGTAGGTCATTACTTGAATTGTCACCTGTGGCGTGAGCTCCGTCTGAACCTAGGCTGATCTTTCCCGCCCGGTCATGTGACACCATGCGAGCCAGTCTCAGCCCTTCGTCCATGAGCGTTTGCTGTATGAGGTGGCGACTCCAGCTGGCGGGGTTGGAGGTTTCAGTGTGAGGACGGGGAGATGGAGACTGGTTGCACTGGGAGCCCATGTCTACCAGAACAGACAGATCTGGGTTTTATTGCTGCCTTTAAAGAGTTTTTATAAAAACAAAAACACTTTGACAGATCAGTGCAAAAACCCCGCAAAACAAACAGGTTTTATTACTTTACAATTTATTTTGCTAACATCAGTCTGATTCTTCTGTTTTTTACCATGTGATACACTGTCCAGGCTTTCTGCAGATAAGCTGTCGTCATCTGCCCTCTGAGTCAAACTCTCGGATCCCTCCACTCCGAGGAGTGATGACACACTCTCGGGCACGACTCCCTAAGATACATCACACAAGCAACACTGTCAGTTCGGTGCTGATGAACCACTTCAGATGACTGCCAGTGCACCCGACACTCACCTCGAGCCTCGCTCTCTTCTGGGGCAAAAGGCTGCTCTCGTCCGGGTTCGTCCTGCAGTGGGGGGGACACAGTGGCGGCAAATGAGTGTGAAAAGCACATGGTTTCACCCCTCACAGAGGTGAGGGTTCTACCCACAGAGAAAGTTAATAAATGATCACTGCAAAATCAAGACAAAGGATTTTTTTCACTGTGAATAAGTAAAAAAATTTTTTTTTTATGTGTAAGTAAAAGGTGTCTATTGTTAGATGAGCAGACTGTGAACTTGGTATCTATTTTTCAATCATCAACAATCGAGTATAATAAATTATGATGCTGAAAAACTGAAATATAATTACAAAACTACTCCTGTTTAGTTATGGTTTGTGTACACTGACTCATTCTGTTTGCCCCGCTCGAGAAACATATGTAAATGTTCTGTGCAGGTTAACAAACACAAGTAGTATTTGTGTACTCTTGCAACGGCTCAAAAGTTGGCTCATTTAACTAACAGTACAGAGGTCGGAGTTTGATTCCCACTGAGACGTGAACTAGGTTCACTCTGAAAATGAATCCACTGGTTGGTTGATGACTCACATAAATCACCTGTTGAACATGCTAAACACAAACTATAAAATCATTTCATTCAAGTTTTTTCACATGATGCTCCTGTCTCCTGTCTGAAATAACCATTGTATTCACTGGTGCGAATGATCTGGTCTTTATGGATCTTTCAAGCTACACTCCTGATTCTGTAACAGTTCTTTTTCTTTCTTGGTACACAAGCTCCATTAAAACACAGCAGGCGTGAGGTGTTTTGCTCTTCTCTGCAGGCATCTTCTTACCTTGCATGCTTTAGTGTGGAGGTGTAGGCACATTTTCTCGCCACCTGCCGAGCCAGAGAAAAGAGCTCCACCCGTCTCAGCAAAAGGGCATTGTCACGCATGCAGAACTGGGCTGCAGCTTCATTGATGATCAGCTGAGAAGGAAAAACACTGAGTGAAGAAGGGATGGACACTGATTGACATCTGATTAAAGCTGCACTCTGGTATGAAGTGCAGCTTTAATCAGGTATAAAATGTGTTGCGATGCATTAAAATCTTCTTCGATTTGATGCTTTTACCTCATGATGTGTGAGTTGCTTGCCTTCCCTCCTCTTGGAGTCAAAGCGCCCATAAATAAGACTGTATTTCCGGATCTCCTCTTCCTTGTTCACGTCCTGGGACCCCATTCTGAAGATGTGTCCCACAGTCTTTGCCATCTTCTTATTCATCCTCAGCAAAGTCTTCACCTCTGCAGGATCTGACCTAGGCAGGGTCGTGAGGAGCCTCTCCACAGTCTCCACCACGGCCCTCGCTGTCTCTCCATCCAGCTGTCCTCCGGGCCAGGCAGACGGAGCTGCCGGGGTGAAAGATGCAGAGGGGCTCGGAGACGTGGAAGGACCGGGAGGACATGTTGACAGTAGAGGTGGGCTGGATGGCTCCTCTTCTGTTCCAGGTGCAGAACCCAAAGTGCAGTTCCCATCATGCTCTGGGCTGAGCCAGTGTGGATCCATAGGAGAAAGTTTTTCCCTGTAGTGTGTGTCTGGGGGCTGTGGAGAGGCCTGGGAACAGGGGCTTCTTGGACTCCCGCTGTGCATTGGTGTAAGGCACATCCGATCCTCTCTCTCACAGGGGGATCCTGGCTGCCCATTACTCACAGACTTTCTGGGCCCGCCAGCTGATCCACTTGTGCCAGTGCCATCAACTTTAAAGAGCGGGATGCCCCCAAGAGGAACATTAGCAACAGGCTGGCTGAAAAGGGCAGGGTTCGCCGCCCAGTCTCGGAGGGCCTTTTGCAGCCTACGCACATGCAGTGGCTTGGTGGCCATGCCAACTAGTGCCATGATCTCCAGGAACTCCTCCTCCGCTGCCTCGCAGAGCTGCTGGACATCGTCACCACCCTGCTGGATAAAGGTTTCATAGTAGGCCAGCAGGTTGGCCCTCTGGAGGACCCGATACAGCTGCAACTCACCAAGTGTGCGTGGCAGAGACATGGCACACAGCACTGGAAAGTTTAGGCAGGAGAAAGGAAAGACATGAACCTGCAGATGGAGAAATCCTGTACAAGTTAATTATTTAGATAAAGACTTTGGCATCTGGACCACACCTAGTATATACAGAATACAAAATACAAATATAGTCAAATAATAAAAACTGATAAACAGTTAAAAGCAAGTTTAAGCATCCCTTGGGGCAGAATAAGCTCCTATCTACTCATTATATGTTTCATGACTTAATCTTTGAATACACATAAATCGCTTTTTTCTTACCTTCTTTAGGTCAGGTTTACAGATGTGTAAAGAGGAAACCGGCGTGATTTAGCAAGGGTGTCGCTCCAGCCACCGATGTCACGGGTCGGATCTGCCAGAGCAATACTGACAAAAGAAATAAAACTAAAATCTCCTGATCACAGACAGAACCGCATTCAGACTGCACTAAAGTGAAAACACTCGTTTTTTGGCTCCATTTCAAATAAAGCCATCGACTGGAGGTAATTGTTTACTATCCAGATGTTAAGAGGCGAGCACCCGAAGACGACGCAGTTATTATCCCATTCGTTTCTTACCGTCTTACCTATTGCCGACAGCTTCCTCGGCGCAGATTGGCGTAGTAAATCCCCTTTGCGTATCTTACCTCGTCTGAAATCACTGGCAGAAATCCTCCTCCGGCGCACCGTATTGGTTGCTGGCTGCCTTTTTGCTGTCTGTGTGGGCTGGAGAATGACGGGGGCGGACTGCAGCACGCCATCTGACCGAAAAAGAGCCTTCCTCTCCCGGTAGAGAGGCGGCTTTCAAATTGGAGATGTGGGTGGTGGTGGTGGGGGCTTGAAATTAACCCTCTGCGTCTTCAAGATTAGTCCTTTATGCAGAAGCTTTAGGGGGTTCCCACCGTTTTACTATGTCAGAGACTCCCAAAACAAGCAGCCAGCTATACACTATACAAACCTCTATAGATAATAAACTGACGTGACAGATGTGGATTTTTACTGAAGACCAGTTCTGTTATTTCCCCCCATTTTATGTAGGAGGTGGTAGAGTGGGTGAAGATCCAGCAGTTTTTAAATGCTAGAATTGCATTTTGTTTTGTTTTGTTTGAAAGAGTAAAGGACCAAGTCACCAAACCGTGGCTTTAAATTCACTAACAGTATCTCCAAAGAAGTTCAAAGTCCAACACCAGCATCTCCAATCCTTTTTTTTGCCACATTTTATGTGATTGTTCTATTGTACAGTGATGGCCTGTAGGATATGTATTGTGTGCCTATCCATTTCCAGTTTTAAGTGGCCTTTAGGTACATCTACACCACGCACTTTAGAAATAAGGGATTTATTCATATGTTACAAATAACAACCCAATTACCCTTTTAGTGTGAGCATAAGATGGAGTCTGAAAAAATAAGCCAGACCGAAGCATCGTGGTCATTAAGCGTGGGCTTCTAACAAATCTTAGTATTAAGGAAAATGTGTTATCCATTTCCCCCCGAATTTGATTAGCAGGCTACTATGAACTAAAAACTCACGTAAAAACACCTCGGCGTGGGGTTGCTGGGTTTCTTAGCCCGAATTTCTAAAGTTAGCCGCTTACGGTCAGCTTTTCCCGAAACATTAGATGGCAGCAGAGTCCCGCTGTTGTGTTTTAACCGCGCGCAAACCGCGAAGAGGGAGCTGGAGGCGGAAGAGGAAGTAGAAATAAAGTGGGAAAAGGAGCCGCAGAAGAAGAAGAAGTGGCTTAAAAAAAAAAAACAACACCGACACTTGGATGTCTGTTAACAAACAAGGTTATACAGTTATCCGAGAGGTATATATGACATTTCATTTGTTTTAATGCAAAACGCAGAATTATTTGCCTTCTTTGTTGCACTGGACGTCCCGGTTTTTAAACACGTCTTTGCGTTAGTAGCCAAACCAACCACACAGGAAGGGGAAACAGGCGTTTATATTTCAGTTAGTCCTGCTAGTAGCTAATAGTTCACTGCTGGCTCGCTAAAAGCATAAACAGTCGCCTGTTTTGTCTTCGTTTGTGGCCTTATTTAGTCGAAATGTTGCCAGGTTAACTATCCAGAGGCAAGCTAATTTTAGCCCCCGTAGCGCCTGTCTGTCATCCTGCTTGGCTGCTTCCTCATGCTAACACTAGGGCTGCCTGCTAACATTGTCCGCCTTTTAAAACATCTGGTGATTTGAACACAGTTAACATGCTAAGGGTCTGACTGACTTCTTTATACTTTTTTATTTACTGTGAAAGGTTAAAAGGTTGTTTATTAAAGGTCGGGTTTTACACACACTGCGTTCTTGTTTGGCTAACTGGATTAGCAAACAACAAAGCAGGGTAACTGCATGTAGTCTGTGTTTTCACATCTGTGTAAATGCGCGTAAAAGTAGCTTCAAAGAGGGTATTTGTAACTACTTGATACTTATACAGTTGTACCGATGAAGTCGTGCAGCTACATTGCTCACTGACTACTTAACTCTTTAATTTATAGTTACCCCCTTTTGTTTCTTTTAAAACTTATAGTTTAGCAGTTATCATGCGCTCTGGTGTCAAAGCATTTGTCTTAAAGTAATGCTCTTACTTTTCAGTTGTCTGGAACGTCTAAGGATTTTTCCTGCATTTAACCCAACACATTAAAAAAAATCACTTGGAAACAGTTAGAGAGACAAAGTGGAGATGTGCAGAGGAGGGAAAGTGGATTTTAGGGATTCTAGGGATAGTGTGAGCTAGAGAGACATGGTTTATGGCTATATATTAAATCAGAAAGCCAAAAATAACAGGAACAAGGATTCACTTATATTAAGTAGGGTGACACAGACTTGTTGTGATATCAAAACCTGGAGATTGATTCATATCTGTTGCTTTTCAGGAGCTCCAGTGCATCATGTGAGTTGTGCAAAAGCCTTTTGATACGTACAAGTGGCTGCTGATGCGGTGCACCTGAACTTGACCCACGGGAACCCCCAGTCTCGCTTTTTTATGAGAGCCTGGGGAAAATGTGGCCTCAAATTCTGGATTTAGTGAAAGTCAGATTTTACAGCGCTTCAGTCAAATTGCTGTAAGGAACATGGAAAGAGAAGCGTCTAAGAAAGAGATGGATGTTATGGACACTGACGAGGAGTTCCCTGATGGTGTTTCGGCCTCAGTGACCAGTTCAAGTCAGTGTGAGGTTGAGGATGAGTGCGAGCAGGAGGACAAAATAACCTATCTCAAATCTCAGGAAACCCCAAACCCAGCCACTCTACAAGACGTTGGGGCTGGTGAAGCAGAGGCCAAAGATGATATTGAGGAAGTTTCAGAAGAGTTTGAGCATGACAAGACTACAGAAAATGAGAACTCACAGGTTATAAACCAAGAAGAGGATGATGCCGCAAAGGAGCAGCACATGAATGGGGAGTCTGGTTGGAGGAACATAGGAAGTGGAAGGAAGTGCAAACTGAGGAGCAGTGGGTCAGTTTTAGAGCAGATTCAGAGAGGCAATGTTATGTCAAGTGGCGGTCGGCACAAGCAGACCCGCAGACGTAACCACCACCACTATCAGCAGAACCGGGGCCGGCGGAGGACAGGAAACCAGCTCATCTTAGCGTTTAAGGAGATGCTGTCAGAGTGCCTGAGCTTCTGGTGCATCTCCTGCATCCACATGATGATTGAGATTATTGTCACTTTAACTCACAACTGTGGAGTTGGAGTGGAGACTGGAGTTGTAAAACTTTACAACCTTGGGCAACAGCTCCTTGTGAAGATCACTGATGTTCCTGCAATGAAGGCAGATGCGATCCGGATTCTGAAGTGGGCAAAGTGCAAAGGAGCTTGTGTGGTGGATAAAACTGTTAGGTCAGTAAAGTGGATAAAGACAGTTGCCTTATCTTGTTTCACATTTTTCTGTGCTTTGGCTATTCTGGGATTGCAGTGGGCCAAGGGGGTTTTCCTTCGTATTGGTGGGGATAAGGGAAAGCACTATTGGACGGCTTTTCAGGAGACACGCATTTGGAAAAGGATAATGTCCTTGCTGGAGAAAGCCCGAAGCCTATTCAGGAGGGATGGTCATGTACCGCCATCTGCACCGGGGTCACCTGGCAGAGCAGGAAGAGCTCAACCGGGCCAGGAGTTGGAGAGACTGCTAGCACTGGTTGAGGTACCAGAGGATGAGCTCGATCCCTTTACAGTTCTCGGTGTTGAGGTGCATGCCACTGACACTGAGCTGAAGAAGGCTTACAGACAGCTGGCTGTCCAGGTGTGAGAATCAGAAATACTTCAATTTTTACTATTACATGGCTGCTGTAGTGACTAATTTTGATTCTTTACTCATGCAACCTTTTCCTCTGTCCGTTCTCTTTCAGGTCCATCCAGACAAGAATAAACACCCACGAGCTGGAGAGGCGTTCAAAGTGCTCAGGGCTGCCTGGGATATTGTCAGTAATCCGGAGACACGACGAGAGTACGAGTTGTAAGTGCACGGGGAAAAAAAATCAACAAAGTTACAAAAGAAAGAAATATTTTAATCACAATTATTTATTGTATTTTAAATCATCTTGTCAATTATTTTAATGCAATGATTTTTCTTAAGTTATTTCTGGAAGTTCTTATTGGTAAAACAACAAAACCCACTCAAGTACAGTTTGATAAATAACTGTACATTTCACTCATTATCTCCGATCAACAACTTCTCTTACTCGTTCTCATGCAGGAAGCGCATGGCAGCGACTGAGCTCTCAAAGTCCATGAACGAGTTTCTCACTAAACTGCAGGATGACCTGAAGGAAGCCATGAATACTATGATGTGTACCAAGTGTGAAGGCAAACACAAGTATGGTGTTACACATCCAGCATCGCCATCACATCATACAGCTATAAAACTGTAGCTAATCTTGTGTTGTAGGCTTTCAGCACAGGTGTGTTTTATTTGTTTCCCGTGTGTGTATGAAGGCGCTTCGAGATGGATCGTGAACCCGCTGAGGCCCGGTTCTGTGCTGAATGCAATCGTTGCCATAGCGCCGAGGAAGGGGACCTGTGGGCTGAATCGAGCATGCTGGGTCTACGCATCACATACTTTGCCTGTATGGATGGCAAGGTGTATGATATTACAGGTGAGCATCAGCTGTTGTTTACCTGTCCGGCTCGTTAGTAACAAACCAGTAGTGCATCTCAGAGTTTGCGTTTACCAACAATCTTTGTTGATATTTCGAAAGGCTACTGAAAAGGTACGGGTTTTTCTTGCTGATCATTTTACTCTCAGTCATGTGACCTTTTATGATACTATCTTGTTTTCAGAGTGGGCAGGTTGCCAGAGAATTGGAATTTCTCCTGATACACACCGGGTCCCGTATCACATCTCCTTTGGTTCAAAGAACAACAGCAATGCCACACGACACAGGTACATCCCTCTGGGTGAACGTTTGGATACTGTATCTAATATTTATGATGTAAAGCAGACCTTTTCTTGTCAATAGTACCTTGTCACACTCAAGAATTTAAAGCATGCATGGCTATGGGAAGTTTTTTTAGCTCAAACTTGCAATGTACACCTGGTCGTTGGTTCGACTCGAGCTTGGATCATGTTCACAACATAAACGAGCTGATCTGGAGTTCATTTGGAACTACTGACACCACTAAAGTGTGTTTTTGTGGTTGTTTTGGTCTGCACCTGAGTGCGATCTGAACAAACAAACCTCACAAAGGCTCAGGTTTATCCCGCTTGTTTTTAAACATCTGCCCTTTGCCAACGGCAGACTGAGAGTTTTCCTTTTAAATGTGCAGAGAGGGGAAAATGCAAACGTTTTGGCACTAGAGAAGAAATTTAAACAAATAAGCTTTAAAATGTCTGACTTTGCTCAAATTAGATTAATGTAAACATGTTTGATATTAGTTCTTTTTATTTCTTTCTTAGTCTGCCATCTGCATTATGTTGGTGTGTATTTTACATGCATCTGGCTGTGTATGGCATAGAAGGAGCTCCCCCTTGTGTATTGCGGAAATAACAACGTTTACAATAAAGAAAGCTGTACTATTCATTTCAATTATAGTCAAAAAGGTTCCTCTCCATGCAACGACATTATTTCCCTCGACAAACTTAAATTTCCATCTTATCTTTCAGGACGCCGTCGGAGCAAGCGGCAGGTCCGACCAACCCAGCTGATTTGCAGGACTTCTTCAACCGAATCTTTAAGGGAGGACCTCCTAATGACATGGCTGCCAATGGAAGCTTCTTCCACTCAGGTTCGCCTCATCACCCACCTGGTGCTGGAGCGCCTCCCTTCTCCCCTCCTCCAAGTCAGACAGGTTTTTACATGTCGGGAGGTCACCGGCCCGAGTCCAGCGAGACGTGGGCTGAAAGTGGCAAACCCCCCAGGAGGAGGAAGAAGGTCCGCAAACCCTTCCAGAGGTGAAGTTCGCCGACTTATTAGTGTATGAAAACAGCAACACAGGGATACAAAATATAATGGCCATGTTTGTCTCTCGCCTGCCTGTTGGCATGCCAAGATCTGAACTGGAGAAGATTCAAGGGGGTCAGATCAGCCAGAGCAGAGAGAGACTGGATCACGAAGAGGAGTCTGTCAACTGAATACAAGTATTGAAGGAGGTTCTGAAGGAGGTTGCAGTGATGGTGCTTTACCTCTTAATCCACCTTACTTTTTTTTTGTTGTTTTTGTCATTTTGGTCTTAAAGACGACTGTAGCCTTGGCATTGAAGTTCTTATCAGGATGCCGTAATTAAACCTTTTTCTTTTTTTAATCACGTCCTGCCAAATCCTTCACTGCATGATGTTTTCACCTGCATTTTAACACTTCAGTTCTCTCACTTTTGTTAACGTTTTATATAAAGTTAGCTTAAGAAACCGGCTTTTTAGGAGGGTTAAAGCCGGTGTGTACATGCATCACTGTGATCGAAAAATGAAGATACTAATCTGGCCAGCTTCACAGTCTTTAGTGTTACTGATATTAGAGGCATGTGGCTCTACTACTGAAGCTGCACATCGCCCACAATATTTCAGAAAGGAATCTAACCTAACACATCTGAGCTTAATTATTTATAAAATGGGGAGTGGTTTTAACTCACCAAAGCAGCACATTTAAGTATTTCTTTAGTGAGAAGTCATGTTGTTTTATAAGCAGGTCTAAACAACTGCTAATCTGCTTTTCCATTGAAATCAAAGGCCAAGCTGTGGTTCTGTGTCTGATTTGTAAAACAAAAAAACAGAAAGAAAAGACAAAAATATCTTAGCATGATAATTATAGAGATGCACCTCACCCCTTAAAAAGTTTTTTACCCTGAGCTTTCTGAAGTGGTAACGTTGCAATATGCAGATACTGCAGGAAGTGTGGAAATGTAGCACAGCCACGTAGATTCACCATGGTTCACACTGTTTAGACCACTTTCTAAAAATGTGAAAGTAACATCTCAAAGAGGAAATAAAAAATTTGTAATTGACTTTATTAAGCTAATCGCACAATCGAACATTTAACAGCTGCTTGATTCTAAGTAAAAATGGTTCTACTTTTTGTCCATTGCAAAGTCTCTTTTTCCTTCAGCACCGTTGGACCTTATTTTGGCTATAACTGATGTAACACTAGACAATATCTCACTATTGCAAGTAATTAATTTGCCTGGTCTTTCATTCTGGACCTAGTTGTTCAGTGGCAGTTTTTGTGGCAGTCATCTCAGCGACTCCTGACGGGTTTTCATAGTTGTGTCGGACAAGGTTCACGTAACCTCTAATCAGACTCTAAACGACTGATGTCCTTTTAATCCCCACGGTATTACTGTGTAAAAACAAGAAGGGGTCAGAAAAATCCCAGTTAGTTGCATTTTGTTGTTTGGTTTGTTGTTGACATGTTTCATGGTCAGAAATAACACTTTAACTTTTGTCAAAGCTTAATGAAAGAAAACCGTTGTTATTGTTTACACCTGACATGAAGATTGTGTAGTGATATGGCAATTGTATGCTATGAGGCATCTGATAAAAGCGTTTCTTTTTAACATTGACAGTTGATCACGTCCATTGAGTACATCCATTGTTGGTGATTTTATTTTTTTCCCTTTGTGTTCATTTGCACACCCACCACTGTAATAACATGAGAGGGATTTTGAACTGTCATCAGTGGTTTAGTCCAGCCAGCAAGGCTCCAGCTGCAGCTGAGTAGGAGGTGTAGCTCACTAAGCTAACAGCTCATCTACAAATCAAGATTTATTATATTATTATTATTTTTGTAGAATCTGAAAGTTAAATGAGTGACATTTGATTGCACATCCGTTACCCTCTTGACAAAGTATGTGAATGCTTTTTGTGATGCAAGGCGTGTGTTCGCCTGGAAGCTTGAAAGAAGTCTGTGTTGCAAATATAGTTTGAGCTCAAGCAGGACGATGTGTTTGCCATGTTTACTTCATGTGTCAAATAGTTTTTTTTGTTATATGTATTTGACCAGTTTCCTGGACATGGGAGTAAATGAGTGTCTATCTAAAGTGTCCCTTCCTTTTTCTTGGTCCCAGTTGAAAACAAATCTAGTCCTGGTTAAAGTGAGAAAATAAAAACAGATTCCAGCTGAATTGGGGATTTGCTTCAGTTCCTGTTCAGGAAACTGGATCCACAGCTGTGACTGCTTCATGCTTGATTTGAGAACGTGCTGTGACGTGTGTTAAAGGTAGAAGTTCAAAGTCCAACAAGTTAAAGAGAGAGCCAACACAATGACCTTTTTTAATTATTTTTTTCCTTAAAGTTTTTTAACAGAATATGCAGAATTATTGCAAAAAATATCAGACAATCATCAGGGTTTTTTGTAGGGACTACGGAGGCGAGTTCCCTGGCTGGTTTTAAAATATCACTTTTGGGTTTCTTCCCCCACACTCCCCCTGCCGCTTTCTCTGGTTTCCAAAATAAAGAGGATTTCCTATATGCATAATGTCTGTTCTGTTCCCTGCTTATTAAACTTTAATTACACCTCAGATACAATGCATATCACCGTTATATCACTTTAAACATAAACAAAGTGAGGTTACACGGCTCTGTATGGCAGACATATTGATAAGAATCTGCTGCTTGCAAGCCGGCACAGATCCCGTCTTTCTGACTGGCTTAATATTTAATTTTATTGTAAACCCACACCGAGAAGGACTCTGTGGGTTTTACCTCATATGGCTTTCCCACTCTCTGACCTTTACCCCTGTTATGGCTACGAAAAAGAGGGGCCTTACAAGGAATCATTTCAGAGAGGTGCAGATAACTGCATGCCACTCAACTGTAGTCTGATTCGCTCATTTATAGCCTGTTAGATATGAAATAACGATGAAAGAAGAAAAAAAAAAAAGTAGATCTCACTTGCCTCATTAAAGCAAAGAAAAATCTTGTTTTCAGAAGCGACCCTGCGATTACCATTACCTTTCCTGGAGTGTTCCTCAGCTGCCCAGCAGTGAGCACTCAAGCTCCTCGCAACTATATTAAACACTCTAAATGCAAAACTTAATCAATGCATGTCTGAGCTACATCACATTTACAAATATTTAGCCCGGAATGACGCATCAAAACTGATTGTTGCTCATCATCCTCCGTCTATTGCACTCAATGAACCTGAGGGGGCTATTCTAAAGAAAAAAAATGATAATAACAGGCAGCCCATTCTAGAATATATAAATTCAGTGCATTTCATTAACTGATAATAGTATTACCTTTGTGGTTTTGACATAAAATAACTACCTACATGGATCTTTTGATAAATTGTCAACTACCTTAATTGCCAGCATGTTATTTTCTTCCATTTACCTGATTGATTCATAAACATCACATTTGTTTTGCTTTCTCCTTTTTCATAACCCAAGTGCCAATTGTCCTGCAAGGATCGTGTCCCTCTTGCTTCTTTCACCCCTGTGTTTATTTTCAGTTCAAAGTTAACAGTCTGAAATAAACCTCGTTTATGTTGCATTCACTGTCAAACAAGCCAAATTAGCTCCTCTCTCTTTAAGCCAACTTTATCCTGATTGGCTGGTCCTCACAAATAGAAGGTTTGAACAGTAGGCAGGTGGAGCTTCTTTATTCTCAAGCACCAGCTTAATCAACCTTTGATGACATCATAAAGATGCCTGGAAACTAAATGTTTGGAGCTTTTAATCTAAACTTTATTTTCCTTTACAAAAGTTGGAATCAGTCTCAGCTCCATCTTTGACTGAAATTCAAACATTTGCAAATATAATTTGGCTCAAACCTGATTGTCACTTTGCGATATATACACACACACACACACACACACACACACACACACGCACATACACGACTGCATAAGCATCTGGTTAAGAAGAAGACTGTATCATTTATGAATTAAATATTTCAACCTCTACACCCATAATTTTCCTTGCCTAATATCGAAAACATGATCATATGTATAAATGCTTCAGATCGTGCCGGCTACATCTGCTCTTCCATCATCTACAGCTTGCCCTTCAGAGCTGCGATGACAGTGTTGAGCTTTGAACAGTCTCGATAAGCCACCAGGCCGCCACGGTTAGCCCAGCGGTCAGCTCCTTTGCACTCAGTGTCAGGCTCATGATAGGTCAGTTCTGCTGTGTGATCCTGTCCTTCACTGGTCATCTGTAGACGCTTAGTCAAGTCCACCACCCCCCCACCGAGTGCTCGGAGCAGGGCGTGAGGAGCGCAGGAGTCCCACTTAAAGGTGCTTCCCTCTGAGAGGATGTAAACATCAGCCAGGCCCTCAATGACACACAGGATCTTGTAGCCGGCTCCAGAGGCGTACATCAGCTTGTCAGAGCTGCAGAGCAAGGCTAGCACACCTTTTACCACCTGCTTCTCACTGGAGCTCAGCACCACAGACAGCCCTCGATCCTCTCCATCTTTCGGCTGGGACACAGAGCAGATGTTGATGCCGTCCCAGGACACGCCCCAGAAATGCCTTCCCTTCCACCTGCAGAGAATCGGGAGTAAAGTGAGAATATCTTACTTTGAGGCTCAGAAGCTTCATTATGTCACACCATCACCTAAACACAGTGTGAAGTTTCCTGTGACATGCATGGCATCTGCTCAAACCCGTCAATCTGTTAATATTTAGCTGCAGTAGGGTGAGGTTAATATGAAATGTGTAGTTTTTCTGTAATCGTCTAATCTGCTGAAGAAAGTAAAAGGTAAATGTAGAAAACAACCTTCATAGAGAGGGATGGAAATGTAGGGAAGATTATGCTAATGTGGGATAGAATAAAAATGTTTAAACCTCAAACTATGCAGGTTACAGGATGGCATTTCCTGTGCATTCTGTGTGCACAGGAAACTAAAGACTCATGCATTTCCCCGTTTCTACCATCATTCTACATGAATTTTATTTTGTTGAATCGAATTCCTCTGAATTCTGCATCATGCAAGCTTTGGTGAAATTTAAAGAGGTGAGCTTTCTACAGCAATACAGCTGCTGTAGCAGGGGGAATTATAGAGATCAAATTAATTTATTGTAAGAGCCCGTAAAGATACTTTTTTTTTCTTAACTTGGGTGTTTTAATATTTACTGGCTTTTCACCTCCAGAGGTTGTTGCATAGATAATATAAAGTCCAGCAAAATGTAGCAACTTAATGTTTAACCCTGCCAAAGTGGAGATAGAAGAAGAAACATTGCTGTGACTTGAGTAATATAGTATACGTGGTGAAGTGCCAGGAGGATTGTCGACTAAGTGGATGGCACAACACGGGAGAGCTGTGTTGTGCCATCCACTTAGTCCAATCCTACCTAATCAGGCCTGAA